TGCATTTCTAACTTGAGATTTTAGTGTAAATTAGAATTGATAGCATAAAGCTTTGTTATTTAGATTTGGTTAAATGGAGCTTACTTGCCTTTATGATTGTACTGAGTAAGTCCTGTGCTGTAATTTCCTCTTTGGTTAGGCTTGGCTTTGACTTGCAATGTTTGTTAATTGTCATTTTAGGAGGTTCTGGTCATGATTGGGTGGTTACGTGGTTGTTTATACATGGCAAGTCATCTTCTTGCTACTATAGGGATATTTTCCCTGTAAATTGGTTATTGTTTGTGCTAAGAAGGTCATTTTTGTTTTCTTGATTTCCATATTGGTATTACAGTATCATACAGCCTTGATGCTTATTGGGGTTAAATAATTTAGATAGAATAAATTTAAATTTTTTATGACCAACTAATAACTTACTTGGTAGCCACCAATTTTAAATCTTGGTTTTAGGGTCAAATTTAGTGGTTTAAACCTAGGCAATGCCTAAGTACCTTAACTTAAGAAGTACCCAAAAAATGTGCAATTTTTTTTATTTATTCAAGTAATTCATTTGCATTTGTTTATGTCTATTTGACCTTTTTAGCTTCATACTCATCTAGTTTCAGCTGTCTGGGTTCAATAGATAACTGAACCCTTGGCTTCATTAGTTGGTAGGTACAAATTGAGTTGCTTTTTTGGAATATCTCCAACTAAAGCAATAAAATTGTTTTGGTCTATGTAAAAAGAAAAAAAAAAAGAGAAAGTGTTTTGGTCTCTCTCTTCATCACTTTTCAAAAAGTAGTAAAACAGTCTACGCTCTCAAATAAAGGCTGCCTCAAAAGCCAGAATCATGTTTCTCTGGACTGGTACAGTCGGTATAAAATAAAATGTTCTTATCTTCATTGAGTTCTCTGTATTTAAAGTTTTCAAAATGTTATTTCTGAATCTGTCATCTTTCTGCAACTGATCTTGGTTTGTTTTGAAATTTTGGAATCACATGTAGAAAAACATTATGCTGTTTTGGGCAGTACTTTACTTTCCAACCTATCATGCTTCTTGCTTTCACTCGTATTTTAAAAATTAAAGGTTATCAACTATACTTGTACATAACTATCTAATAAGTTACATTGGTTTATATAAGTCGATTTCTACATCTTGTTTGATTCAGTAAGTTACAAAAGATGCTCATATCTACATCTCTTGCTTGCCACGGTTTTGTATAGTTTGGTTAACATGCATGCTCCATGAGCTGTGAAGCATGCCTGTTCACATCCCTGTTCAGATTGAACTGGTGAGCTGAAGATAAGATGTGTGCTTTGGAAATTCACATTCTGCAGCTACACTATTTGTTTCCCTTTTGATATCTGTATGTTACTGGAGTTAAAAGCACAACAGAATTGGGCCTTGGAATTGATGTTTCTGTAGATGAATGTAACATGTTTGCTATAATATTCGTACTCTAGCAGCCATGGGGCAGAGATTCTTGGAAAATATTCTACCTGGCTTGCGGGTATTTAGTTGGTAAGATAAATGACTTGCCTTTTATGCTTCAAAACCAATGTTGTGATTATATGTTGTATTCTTCATAGCAGTTGTAGTGTTTGTGGCACTATATGCTGAGCTGTATGAGACATTACCTGTTATATAAACCTTTATGAAAGTGATTGTTTTTTTCATGTTCCTCTCCACTTACAGGAAGCAACAGTTCTTTTTTATTCAATCCTCCTATGAGTTCAATGAAAGTGATGCTTGTATTTTGCAGGCTCCGGAGCTCCTTATGGCTTCAATTTAAGCCTCACCATATTGCTGCTGGTGCTGCTTACCTTGCTGCCAAGTTTTTAAATTTTGACCTTTCCTCGTACCATAACATCTGGTGGGAGTTTGAAACGACATCAGACATTCTTCAAGGTAATATATATGCATTATATCTACTCAAAAGGTTGAAGATTCAAGTTATTTTATGTCTTGGGTTTTTCATCTGAAATGGAAAAGTATTTTGGCAGCGTGAATTCTTATAGAAATGATATGGAGATATATAAATACACACAAATGCTCTTAGAATTCATCTCCCATCTCTTTCAGGCTTGTTGATGACTTTCCTGCTTTATTGATTAATGATTTATGCTCTATTGTATTGTTTGATGCAGATGTTGCGCAGCAGTTGACAGAGCTTCTCTGATACGTGAACCAAAGCTATAGGTGTCGGACATCGGATGATAATATTTCTGGGTTTGTTGGTAAAATATTCCCAGTTCTAATTTTTTTCAGGATACATGTATGATAATCTTGAATATAAAGCTATATTCTGGAGAGTTAGATAATCTTGAATCTCCCTGTTGAATGAACTTGCTATGATGCTGGAATAAAATTCTTTGCATACTTGAATTTCCTTTTCTATCTAGTGTTTGAATTTAATCTTCAGAGTAGCAAGGGTGTAACAGTTATAACAGAAGTAAACTGTGTTTTTTCCATCGGTGGGAAGGAGATTATTACTGTGTTAATTGGGTTGTTAGCGACATCCATCTTATGTTACATTGATGAATTAAACTGCAAATTCGGGCATTTCATTTACTTTGTTATGTTACTGAGTGTGTTGGTGTCTTGCTGGATCCAAGACTCACTGAGAAAAATTACTTCACCTTCTATTTATTGGAAAGAAGATAGCATGGGGAAGTTGTGTACACTTCCCATCGTCAATACTCAAGAGATGGTGGGATCAAATCACCTCGTCCCCATTATTTAAAAATGCATGAGTGAAATTGTACCAACCAACAAGAGGTGGTCGGATGACAATGCCATTGTTGTTGGTGTCAACATAGACACGATTGCAACAGTAATCCAGGAATGTGCCCATGGGAGGGGAACGTACAATCACAGTCACCAATGGACTATCCGGCTTCAATTATTGGTTTAGCTTTCTGCCATTTTTTTCCCACCAATTCTGGCCGCTCGGTATCTGTACACCCCTACAAAATTCAAAAAATGCATAATTAAATCACTAAATTAAAAGTTTACACAAAATTTGTTAGAGATATAAAGGCTTTACTTGGTTTAACTATTGTTTATACCACAAATTGCAAAATTATTAGATAATGCCACATGTCATGAGATTTGAACAAGTGGCTAAGTCGTATCAAACTTGATTTTGTTGTGATCTAGAGTATAACAAATCTAACTGATAATTGTCATGTGAAATGCTAGATCTGTAGTTGTTGGTAACTATTTCCTAATAATATGAAATTATTTAATTTAACATAGCAAATAAGAGATGTGGAAGGCTAAATCTGTTGAATTGGTGGACAGATGGCAAATTTTAAAGCAATCTTTAAGTAAATCTGCTTTTGACATGTCTAGTCAGAAGAAGTAGTTTTGATCACGTTTTTGCAACTGAGTTGTGGGTGGTTACAAGCCTTTTTTGGAGATTCATCAACTACAAATATGAAGAAACAACAAATTCAAACGAGGCCTACCTTTGTCAACAAAAAACTACATCATCTATTTTGCAAGATGCCTTAATCAAGCTCTCAATTGGCTTCTAGGTTAGGAGATTAGCTCTCAAACTCCCTAATTTTAAGTTTTAATTGTTTTTTCATGGGATTTGTCCTTTTACTTTCATAGGTTTTCTTCTAAATCAATTTTGTAACTTTTGTCAATACATTTCAATTTTATCAATGCAATCAACTTTTAGTTCTGTAAATAGATTTCATCATAGTTAATGCAATCTTATTATTTTATGTTGCAAAACTTCATGTTATCTCAAAGTGCTCAATTTACATTTTTGTGAATTGTGTAGTTAAAATCTACCAATAGTTGCTTACTTAGATATGCCTACTATGTCAAAATCTGTAGCTTACTTTACCTTAAATTTGCCTTTCGGTTTCACAATACACTCTTATTTTCTGCCAACCTTTTCTTTCTTTCTTACTCTATTTAATTAGCAAACTTCAATATGGCACTAGAATACTAGATGTGGGAAGTCCTTGGATCTGTCCAAGGCAAATATGTAACACATTTTGTAGGAAAGCATCACTTTTTCTTGCAACATCAGCTAATCCGATTTGAGGTGCATCTTCAACATGTAATTAACATTCTTCCAACCATCCTGTATAGAGGTCAACCACTTGAAAGAAAAGGGTTGTCAAGAAAATTCATCTTTCCTTGCTTTGAGCAAAGCAAAGCAAGTGGCATGCTTGGACTATTTTTCCACGAGGGAACTAAGAGGAAAGGATTTTTGGGGAAACAACTGTCAAAAACAATTAATGGTTGATAAAACAACTAATATTTATTATCAATAATTTGAAATCAATGTATAAATCATTGTTTTCAATTATCCTAACTAATGGGGTAAGAAAAAAAATTATAAACTAATAAAATCATTTACCAAGGGACTCCAAGCTGTGAGTAAATACTTGTATTATGACTCACCAAGAGACTTTAGCCATCATGGAACTCACACATCATTCACGGTGATAGCAAATTTATGTTCTTGGGGCAAGTCAATTTGGATTTGCTTGTGGCATCGCTAGAGGAGTTGCATTATGAGCATATCTTGCCATGTACAAGGTTAGCTCAACTACAAAGGTCACAGAAAGTGACATTCTTGCTGCCATGGAGCAAGCCATTGCAGATGGAGTTGAGATATGTCACTATCTCCTGGCTTTGAACCCAAGCCTTTATTTAAAGAACTTGAGGGCATTGCTTCTGTATCATCCGTGGAAAAAGGGGTTGCTGTTGTTTGTGCTGTTGAGAATTTTATTAGTGCTAACACCACACTTAATGGAGCTCCATGGATCACCACTGGTGGAGCTGGCATACTTTGACCAGCTTACTTTCGGTGGAATAGTAACCCTAGGAAATGGGTTAGCCTTTGAAGGAAGCTCACCATTATCACTCAGTGTCTACATTGCATAAGGACTTTTGTATTGTGGAGTTGATGACATCAACAATTCAATTTGCAACTATCCTATCCTATGACATTTGAGTGAATGTTGTTGTCTTTGAAAGTCAAATTCAGCACCCTAAGATAACCATTGTCAATCCACCATCCATTTAAAACGCATGCATATAATTTGTGACCAACAATAATGACCAAATATAATCTTTCACTAATTATAAACTTAATAACACTAAAATCCTCAAAAAAAATACAAAAAATCAATACTTTAAGTGCAAACAATCAATACCCTTTAAGCCTTAAATAACATACATAGGCCCATATAACATCTCTCTTAAGCCACAATTAAAAACACATATGTACCACCTCTTTTGTTAATTTCTCAAACCTTATATGAGTCTTTTAATTGCAGTGGAAGGGCAATTAGTGGTTTTTTTTTCTTTTTTTCTTTTTTTTTTTAATCTTTAGACAATTAAAAAGTTAAAGCCACTTAAATATCTAAAAATATCTAAATTCAACACTTTTTTAGCTCAATTAAAAATGTATTCTAAGCCCTTCTCCTATGGATTGCCCCAATATCAAAAAGGCCCACAAAATTCTCGTACTTATTGTTTATATCTAGCTAAAAGAGTAATAACTACATGTAGTGTGGCAGACCTACTTGTAATAACTCTAACTAATTACAAAATTCACACCACTAAAATCTTCAAAAAAATAACCAAAATCAATGTTTTAAGGCCCAAACTATAAATACCCCTTAAGCCTCAAATAACATAGGGTCAATATAACATCTCTTCAAGCCCAATTAAAAATAAATTTAGGCCGCCTCTTTTGTTTTTTTTTTTTTATTAATCTTTCAATGTTTGATAATTAAGTCTAACATTTATTTTTTTATTTATAATATATATTTTTTTGAACATATTTGCAGGGAGCAGGTTTGAACCCAGCCCGGAGAGGAGGGAATGCACCGGGGTGGCTATTGCCACTAGGTCTCAAGAGCCAAGTGCTTTTATTTATTTATTTTATTTATTTATTTTATTTTATTTATAATATTTAAATTTAAAATTTTATAAAATTTAAAATTTTATTTTAAAAAAATCAAATTTATTTCGTCCCAACTAACAAGTTGTTGATGTCCTTTTGTTAATTTTTCAAACAACAAAAAAATGTGGAGGGGAAAGCGAGAAATGAAATGACTCATCATCACTGACGACTAGTAATAAGTCTAAACATTAACAGCCACATAATAGTAAGTTGGACTTGAAGCGGATAGCATTGAAATCCGACTCACCTATCACGCTTCTTTAATGTTTCAAATTCCTCTCACAAAATTAAAACTCTTTTATATGGGAGATGAGAGATGTGTCTTTTAATTTCTAAAAGTTTTTCTTTTATATTAATTATATAATAAAAAATAATTTTATTTTATCTTTTATTTTATTATACTCGTACATTATGTGATTCGAATTCAAGAGTTTTTATTCTTAACAAAAAAAATTATCAATAAATTATTTAAATTATTAATTTTAATTTTTAAAAATTATCCTCATATACACGCAACAAAACATAAATAAATCAAGTAGGTACAACCAAAATTATGAACAACACAGCTCGTTCATCCACGTGCCTGCTCGGTAAGTTGGTAACTAC